TATGAACTTGCATAAAAATCCGCAATTTAATAATTAGTATAGTGAGATTGTTACAATTGTATAATCAAATACCAATAAATGTTATACTATGAATCAAATAAAAATTCATTAAATTCGCAATTACTACTCTTTATATTACATGTATATTATGATTATGTATGATTATTACACGCTTTATTTTATACGGTTATTTGTACTGTGTATATAATTATATAGCTTATCTTTATTGTGCTGATGATAGATATTAAGAAGTATGACAAGTAGCATATTCGATTTTAGAAAACAAAATTGTTCCAAGCAAGTTTTAAGCAATCAAAACACGAACACATATGACATATTTAATGTATCGTTTTGTTAATTATTTTTCAGTGTATAGAGTAATTTAACACAAAAAAAAAAACGTGCGGAAAAATTAAAATGATCGGCCTTTGATAAAAATCATTAATATACTTCATCCTGTTAAAAATTAACATGACCTTACAAACTAAATATACATTGAAGAGCACCATTAATAACACAGTTTTGCAATTTTAAAATGTTCTTCTCTTCTTAACGAAACATGTTAATTTGTTAATTTCAAAAGTTAATTAAAAAAGTCAGTAATGAGGTAACATTTGCGGATGTATATTTATACGCATTTGCGAGATGTTAATGGTTAATTACACAGTCTATTATCACTAAACTGCATATTTTTGGCAGCAGACAATTTGCACTGGAATTTAAATTACAGAATTTCTTCAAAATTAAAACACACCGTTTAATATATAAAATATATATATATATAATTTTATTATTATTGTTAACGAAAATGTTGACTTTTACAACTTTCTTCATAGAAACAATTTCATCCCATGAAATTCGTCCACCTTTTCTTCAATTACGTAGTGCAACCTCGTTTTTTTTTTCAAATAAACCATCAATTTTTTTTTTAACTTGTAAATTATAAAATTTATGACAAACGCACTGTTTCTGCTACAATTAACCTTCACGCTCGATAGCACGTCAATCACAAGTCATAAAAAAAAAAGTACAAATAATTATTCAAGAGGAACGAATTGCAAATAGAAATAAGAATTAACTGCCAACCGCTTTGTTTGTGCGCCGATAATAAGACGACCCCGATAAATGCACACACAGAATAAATTACTATCGTATCAGCATCGCAATGTGCAGTTACTCCGCGAGGAATTTTTTTCTTGTTGTCGTTGCTTGACACGATAACAATAGAAGACACGACAGTGAATGAATAAATAAAGATAACAGCTCGTAGCGTAAAAAAACCGCGGAATCAAGCTGCGAATCGGTCGTAAATTTCACGAGAACTTCGTTTTCGAGTCTGTCAAGAGTCACGCGTCGTATTTTTATTCACACCACCGCCATTTCTTCATTATCTCCTACCAATAAGAAGTACACGACTCGTTCGCCAGAGCGCTTCGAGGACTCAAGATTCATCGAGCAGACGGATGTCGTACACTTTCGGCTGTTGATCATTGTCGCGCTGTTTTGTCCACCGCGAGCCACGGTAAAATTGCCCATCGTCCGCGGTAAGTACCATTTTTCACTCTGGCGGGGCTCAACTCTCGCGTCTCGCGTCGCGTAATAATAGCGAACCCGAAAATCGGAGAACGATCGAAACAAACGCGTGTCACCGATTATCAACGCGAACAGAATTCACGAAGGTCCGAGATTAAAGCAACAAAAGGGTTACCGTCCGGTCATTTTCGCGATACAAACGCGATCCTGATTACGCACTGTTGGGTCACTGTTCTTTGAAAATATATTCGTCGGCTCGACATCGTTTCGGTTTCTGACGACACTGAACAGATATTGCTCGGATGGAATGGCAGCGGGCGATATTTCGCAGTACGTTCACGATGCAAGAGCAACCTCGAAATCCGTTTAAGCTTATTGGATCAGCTTGGAATCACAGTGCAGACGGGGGTGGTCCCGTTTAAAAATCCAATATTCCCTCCGAGTCGGTTTTCGTTAAGGCGATGGAGGCTCGTTAATGCCGTATCTATTGGCTCTTCTTCTTCTTCTTCTTCTTTTTTTCTTTCACTCGCGATGAGAAGAAAATACCATTGTGCCTCTGCTGATAATACAAACCGAGCTCGTTACGTGTTCTCCACCTCCCCCTTTGTTCGTTTTTTCTTTTCTCACCCCTTTTGTTTGGCACGGGTCGTCGACATCGTTGCATTTCGTAGGATATCTAATTTTCCGGTGTTCTTCGTTAAGGGACGAGTTCGCCATGTAAATTGGGACGCGTTGGGTACATGCATCAGGTGGAGTGATAAGAGAAGATGCTATTTTCGGGATTATTTGTGTGGCACGATCTATAAAATGAGCACGGATCCGTGTACTTGGTTACAATTTCCATTTTACTTTTCCATGACTCTGTGTTATCGTTTCTTTCTTTTCGATCATATCATACTTTATAACGAGGACCGTCCGTAACCACACGTTGATTCGATTAACATTTGAAGTGAGAATTTTTGAGACAAAGTATATATCCGTACGTTGAGAAAATATAAAACAACGTTTGTGTTGTTACATTCTCAATTAAGTCGGAATTTATTTAAATTTATTTTATATTTACAAAACTTTGATAGAAAATATAATTTATCATATATATATATATACATTACATATTCTACACAATTATTATGTACATGCATATACATTTATTACATACGTATTTGTGTGTTCATAGTTGTTCCTTGAAAGAAGGAATAATTCATTGCTGATTTAATGATAATTTCGTCCGATAAAATTGATATTACCAGACTTTGTGGATTTTTATGTAAGCTCATAATTTTGAAAGTGTAATCAAAAAAGCAGAACCCCGATAGAAAATTGTTTTATGTAATAAATATTATAAAATGAATATTTTTTTCTTATCATACGCGTCCAATTTTCTTTTTTCGTAAACCTTCCTATAAAAATTTGAAATTTAGATATTACTCGACATTTACAATTAGTCCTATCAAGTTACAAATATAGAATATATAGAATATATTTGAATTTCGACTAAATTGAAATATATCTAAATTTATCCTATGTTATTTAAATATTCGTC